CCCACATTTGGCATTTCTCCCCAGGCTATTCCTCCCCACCTCCCCCTCCCACTGGCCCTCCCCTTTTCCCCCCGATAGACCCCAGTGTTTAGTACTCCCCTTTCTGTGTCCATGCGTTCTCATTTTTCATCACCCGCCTATGAGTGAGAATATGCGGTGTTTCATTTTCTGTTCTTGTGTCAGTTTGCTGAGGATGATGTTCTCCAGATTCATCCATGTCCCTACAAACGACACGAACTCATCATTTCTGATTGCTGCATAATATTCCATGGTGTATATGTGCCACATTTTTCCAATCCAGTCTATCATCAATGGGCATTTGGGTTGATTCCAGGTCTTTGCTATTGTAAACAGTGCTGCAATGAACATTCGTGTACATGTGTCCTTATAGTAGAACGATTTATAGTCTTGGATATATACCCAGTAATGGGATTGCTGGGTCAAATGGAATTTCTATTTCTAAGGCCTTGAGGAATCGCCACACTGTCTTCCACAATGGTTGAACTAATTTACACTCCCACCAACAGTGTAAAAGTGTTCCTTTTTCTCCACATCCTCTCCAGCATCTGTTGTCTCCAGATTTTTTAATGATCGCCATTCTAACTGGCGTGAGATGGTATCTCAGTGTGGTTTTGATTTGCATCTCTCTGATGACCAGTGACGATGAGCATTTTTTCATATGATTGTTGGCCTCATATATGTCTTCTTTCGTAAAGTGTCTGTTCAAATCCTTTGCCCACTTTTGAATGGGCTTGTTTGTTTTTTTCCTGTAAATCTGTTTGAGTTCTTTGTAAATTCTGGATATCAGCCCTTTGTCAGATGGGTAAACTGCAAAAATTTTTTCCCATTCTGTTGGTTGCCGATTCACTCTAGTGACTGTTTCTTTTGCTGTGCAGAAGCTGTGGAGTTTCATTAGGTCCCATTTGTCTATTTTGGCCTTTGTTGCCAATGCTTTTGGTGTTTTGTTCATGAAGTCCTTGCCTATTCCTATGTCCTGGATAGTTTTGCCTAGATTTCCTTCTAGGGTTTTGATCGTGCCAGGTCTTATGTTTAAGTCTTTAATCCATCTGGAGTTAATTTTAGTGTAAGGTGTCAGGAAGGGGTCCAGTTTCAGCTTTCTGCACATGGCTAGCCAGTTTTCCCAACACCATTTGTTAAACAGGGAATTCTTTCCCCATTGCTGGTTTTTGTCAGGTTTATCAAAGATTGTATAGTTGTAGATATGTTGTGTTGCCTCCGGTGTCTCTGTTTTATTCCATTGGTCTATATCTCTGTTTTGGTACCAGTACCGTGCTGTTTTGATTACTGTAGCCTTGTAGTATAGTTTGAAATCTGGTAGTGTGATGCCCCCCGCTGAACATAATGTGGGTTGAGCATCCCCAAACTTGAAATGCTCCAAAATTCAAAACTTTTTGAGCACTGACATGATACCCAAAGAAAATGCTCACTGGAGTGTTTTACATCTCAGATTTTTGGGTTTTGGATGCTCACTTGGCAAGCATAATCAAACATTCCAAAATCTTAAAAAACCCCATATTTGAAACACAGCTGGTCCAAGCATTTCAGATCAAGGATACTCAACCTGTACATCTCTGAGCTTATTTGTTTTCTTTAATATTGTTCCACAAAACCTGAAAATTTTTTGCATAAATATTGTGCATGTATTTTGTTAGATTTGTTTCTACCTGCATTGTGGACTTTGTTGCTATTATAAATGTATTTTCTCAAGACATTTGACTTGTAATTGTTTTTAGTTGATGTGTAGGACTGGTATTGATCTTGTGTCTCAGTCGTTTATTCAGCAATCATTTTCAGCTTTTTTTTTTCTAATTTTACAAAAAATGACAGCAAATTTTATTTTTTTAAAGCAACTCTATCAGTCTTGCCCTTTTCCCTCAGAAGAGAATAGTAGCCATGAATGGAGGGAGCTTGTGTTTCTTATTTAGTTCCTCAGGAGGTATTTGCTAGATGAAATAATTAATAAAAATCTCCAATTCGGGGCTGAGGATATAGTGCCCACTCATTGTGTCCAAGTGGTTTTCGTAATACATGCACTGCTGCTCTCTTTGCCGAAAAAGGGCTTCTTGTTTTCACCCAGCAGCCTGTTCTACCACCCTCAACCTGACTCCATATTCCCAAAATAGCTAGACTTCTCCATGCTGTGGGACTTGTTTTCTTCTGTCTTCTAAGCCAGGCAAACATGTCTGTTCTCCAGAGATGCGCCCTGGTCTCAGCTCTTCCAGGAAGCTTTCTTGGATTTCCTCATACTTCATATAGATGTGTCTAGAAAAAAAGCAAACCCAAAAAGCACACAAGAATTAAGGTAAACTGTATGCTCAGAGCCTTAGCCTCAAAACCAAGCATCCAAAGCCATATGGAAAGGTACACAGAGTCAGTGACATTATGGTGGCACACATCGCTACTGTGGTATGAGAAAGGAAACTTACTTATGAATAACAGCTAGGAAGCCAAACTCCACCAATACATCATAATGTCAACAATTAGAAGGAATAGAAACACTCGATCCAGACGCCCCCACACTCAGACAGTGAGTCAGAAAAAAGCAGAGGGAGAGGACAGAAACGCATTGTGTACCGACGATGCTCATTCCAGCACCATCTCCTAAGCGCTCCATTCTGTGAGTGTAAACAAAATACATTTGAACCTTTTCTCCCAGACTTTTAAAAAATCACTTCAATTTTCCTCCTCTGATAAATGTTTTACGAGTTCCCTTTTCTGATGAAAGATTTTGCTGTGATTAAAGATTTCATGAAGTTATGACAACAGAGGAATAGATCTTCATTCTCGGAAGCTCATTTTTCTGTGAGCTGAGCAGAGAGGCCTCTTGCAGGCAGCTGTCAGAGCTAATGAATGTTTTCCAAGTGCCGAGCCTCTGGGGAAGGCAGCCCCACCCAAAAAACCCAGACTCAACTGATGGCAGCTGTCATCTCTAGGTGTGCAGCACCCCGTTGATGCTGTGCTACCTGATAGAAATGGCGCCGTGTAATGTAATCCCAATACTTTGGGAGGCCGAGGCAGCAGATCATCTGAGGTCAGGAGTTTGAGACCAGCCTGGCCATCATGATGAAACCCTGTCTCTACTAAAAATACAAAAATTAGCTGGGCATGGTGGTGGACACCTGTAATCCTAGTTACTCAGGAGGCTGAAGCAGGAGAATCACTTGAACCTGGGAGATGGAGGTTGCAGTGACCCGAGATCGTGTCACTGCTCTCCAACTTGGGTGACAAAAGTAAAACTCTTTCTCAAAACTAAAAAAAAAGGGAAATAGTGGCATGCTCCCGCCTTCCCCCTTGAGAGCAGGTCACATGCCCATGTTCTGAAGAATTGATCTTTCACAGATGCCCTGTGGCCTTTTGACAAAGTTGTACTTGTGCGTGTGCATGTGTATGTGTGGGAACTTCTGGGCCTGCCACTGCACCCCCGGTGTCTCAATTCCCCTCTCTGGAAAGAGGGAGGGCATGTGTGGCTTTGGAATGAATAGAGGTCCACGTCTACTGGGAAAAGCCCGGGTTTCCAGTGCTCCATCCAGGGTCTCGGGCATCGCGGCAGCACTCCTGTCCTCTCCTGAGCCTCCCTCTCCAGTGCCGGTGGGGGTCCGAGGACTGCTTCCGAGGCTGTTGTGATGAAGTCACAGGCGATTGTCCCTTTCCTTTGACTGGACTTTCCTTTAACAACCAGCAAAGGCTTGCCTCCCACTGGGAGAAATACATTTGAGTTCAAATGCCCTTTGGAAAGCCATGTTTTGAAGTCACACTAGGCTAATCATAATGACCAGGGCACAGATCTTTTTCTCCAAGTTTTCTCCCCCTATGAAAACTATTTATCCTGATCTTCCAAGAATGGGCTCTGCTCAGTTGCTGTCATCTCTGTCTGTCCTGCCGTGGGTGCAGCCGTCCATTGAGATCAGCAGACATTTATCGATGACCTGGTCATGTGCTGACTGTGATACTTGGTGTCCAAGACACTGTATGAGTTTTTGGCAAGCATTCAGCTGTCATGTTAACCTAACAGATGATGACTGACACAAATGGCACATCTGGGGCTGAATTTTTCCACTTTGCACATGGAACTAACGTGTCTACAGGGAGGCCGGCCATGCAGGGCTGCCACAGCCGCTCAAGGATGTGACTGCTCCCAAGCACCTCCGACCCCTGCTGCGCCATCCACAGCCGGTGGGTTTTGTTCTCAGTGTCCCTGAGGTTTACTGAGCTTCTAGGCATGCTACTTGCTTCTAGGGAGGAAGGCAGGGGAACGAGGAAGGCTGAAGGGTAAAAGCCCTCTCCTCCCAAGACACATGTTTGTGTTTGGGAAGGAAAGTCTCTAGAGGCCTGTGCCTTGTTGGCTAGAACTTCCCCACATGGACTGGCCCTTGCAAGGAACAGTGGGAACTTGAGCGTTTTACTTTTCACCTCTGTAGGAGGGTAAGCAAAGGAGAACAGGCTTCAAAGGGTGGTGAGTAAACGTCCAGTATCTGCCCCAGTTCTAGAGGTGCCTGTGTGGGAAAATCGTGCACTGGCTGCGTACACACATGCACAGGCAGGACACCCATCATCACGCCTCAGTGCCCACCTTGGAATCTGGTAGCTGAGGATGCTGGCTTGGACATGGCCTCATTGGACGGCACTGCATGCCTGTGTTTCTCCACAGATGAGAGGCAGGTGTTCTAGTCATCAGTGTATCGAGGTTTGGAGAATTCAGGTTACCTTCCAAGGTCACTTGCTTGGTAAAAGGTATGGCTCAGCTGTGAGCACATGTCCCAGGACCCAGGGACCAAGGAGGACCTGAAGCCTAAACCCACTCCTTAGAGTTCACACTTGTGTTCGGAAGCAGTCTCCGTAATCCCCTGAGCCTGGGAGCACTTGGCTTCCGATATACTTTGCCTTGTAAGTGGCAGGAAATCTTTGGAGAGTGGAAAAAGGAAAAGTCACTCGTCTTTGGCTGTCACAGGATTGTGAACTTTCTTTTGTCTTTAACGCAGCACCCGGCAGTGCCACCTGCTCCTGGATGTCTTCAACTCCACGGAGCACGAGCTGACCGTCAGCACCAGGAACAGCGAGGTGCTCATCCTGCATGCTGGCGAGTGCCAGCGGTAAGTGCCCCATGGCCCCTCGTGCTGCTGCAGGCCACCCCTGCCTTCCTCACCCTGCTGGGGAGGGTGTGGACATAATCCACCCCGAGTCCTCAGGGATTGAGCAGTTTTGTCTCCCTTTCAGAGATAGCATAGTGATTATTTCAAGTTTGGTGGGAGAATCTGGAGTGGTTTCAAATTAGAGCCAAGTGCAAAGTAGGTAAAACCGATGGCGTCTGAGGAGGTGGCAATGTGTGCCTTCAGAGCCCACATTTAAGGACCTGGCAGCATTTGGGTGTCTTCGCTGTGAAATTCTTTAGTGGTATCTGGGCAGGGCATGGTGGCTCATGCTTGTAATCCTGGCATTTCGGGAGGCCGAAGCGGGTGGATCACCTGTGGTCAGGAGACCAGCCTGGCCAACATGGTGAAACCCTGTCTCTACTAAAAGTACAGAAAGTAACCAGGCATGGTGGTACATGCCTGGAATCCCAGCTACTTGGGAGGCTGAGGCAGGAGAATTGCTTGAACCCAGGAGGCGAAGGTTGCAGTAAGCCGAAATTGTGCCACTGCACTCTAACCTGGGTGATACAGTGAGTCTCCATCTCAAAAAAAAAAAAATGTATCTGGAAATATTTGGTATCAGTTTGGGAACTGCATGTCAGCATCAGTAGAAATTCCTTTGAGGAGTTAATGCTACAGAAAGACAAGCCAGGCTCAGACCTTTGGGAGGGGAGCACACTCACTCAAGCCCAGTCTCTGGAGGGCATAGAGAGCTGGCACTAGCAAACGCTGGCCAGGATCAGCCTCAGGAGACCCCTGGCCTGGCAGAGGCAGGTGAGGAGCTGAGGCAGAACTGAGAGCTAGTGAGGAGTGAAGCCAAGGTTGCCAGGGCATTCCCGGAGATCAGTGGAGATCAGTGACTCCCAGGTGATGTTGTCCTTCTGTGGCGGAGCCCCTCTGTGGGACCCTGACCCACTCCCCAGTGGACCTCCCTCCATAGTGAGAAGCTGTGCCTCCAAGCCTAGCCTGGGTTCCAGGACATACACTTACAGATGGAATTGTAGATGGAATAATATTTTTATTTTTAATTGCTAAAGACTTCAAACATACAGAAAATAACTTAGAAACTAGCATATTCACATCTTAGATTTAAGCATTTTGCTATATTTGCCCCAGATCCTTCCCTCTCTTTGCCTCTTTCTTTTGTTTTAAGGAAATATAAAATGTTTTTGAAAATAGCAGCATTATCAATCAGTGGTGGAACGTAAGTCCAAACCGCGATGAGACAGCAAAGCGCACTCAGCAGAATGGTTAAAGACCACCAAATGCTGGTGAGGGTGTGAAGCAACGGGAACTCTCATGCCTTGTGGTTGGGGATTTAAAATAGTGCATGTGCTTTGGAGAAAGGTCTGGGGCTCTCCTATAACACTAAACAAACACTTACCCTTTGCCCAGCTATTTCAACCCTAGTTATTTATTTAAGGGTAATGTAAAACATACAGTCACAAGAACACGTATACAACAATGTTCCTAGCCAGAAAGTAGAAAGAGGCCAGGTGTCCATTAAGGAGAACAGACAAACGAACGGTGGTGTTTTCTTACAAGCGGAACAGTACTCTGCAACAGAAACGCATGAATTACTCACACACAGGATGGCACAGGCAGCTCTCAGGAACAGGATGTCAAGTGGAAGGAGCCTTACCCGAAGTGCATATGCCATGTGACTCCGTGATATGAAACGCTGTAGGTTGGTGCAAAACTAATTATGGCTTTTGCCTTTACATTTAATGGTGAAAACAGCAATTACTTTAACACCAGCTTATAGAACAAGCAGAACCAGTTTATGATGGAAAAACTCAGAACATCGATTCCTTCTGGAGAGACTGGAACGGGGTTTGACCAGGAAAGGGCACAAGGTAACGTTCTAGGTAACAGTCATGTTGTATAACTTAATAGGAGTTTGGGTCACACATGTGCATTTCTTGGTTAAAACTCAGCAGATAATCACTTGAGATTTGAATATTTCATGATGTATTGGCTTTATATTAGAAGGGAAAACTAAAGCAGAGTTGAGCTTTAGTTAATGATATGCACACCAGAGGATTTGGGGTCGGGGGATAATACCTCCTGTAGTCTCTGAGATCTCTAAAACATCTGACAGCCGAGTGCATGGGCAGATGAACACCTTAGGTGCTAATATAAATGTGGTATCATGTTAGCAGTGTCTCTTCATGGACATACAGGGTATTCACTGTAAATTATTTTCATCTTATGTTTGAAATGTTTTAGAAGACAATGTTGGGACAATAAGAGTTAAAATAGCTAAACTCTTCTCTTCTACCCACCTCAACCCATCTTCTTTTCTCTTTCCTTCCTCCTCAGGGTAATTTCTTTCTGGGAGGTGATGGTGTCATTCCACATCCATGTTTTACTGCTTTATTTTATGTACTTATATCCCCAACCAAACTTTATTTTGAGAGGTGGTTTTTTTTTTTTATTTGACATGGAGTCTTGCTCTGTCACCCAGGCTGGAGTGCAGTGGCATGATCTCAGCTCACTGTAACCTCTGCTTCCTGGGTTTAAGTGATACTCCTGCCTCAGCCTCCTGAGTAGCTGGGATTTACAGATGCGCGCCACCACACCCAGCTAATTTTTTGTGTTTTTTTAGTAGAGACGGGGTTTCACCATGTTGGCCGGAGTCTCCAACTCCTGACCTCCTGATCGGCCTGACTCGGCTTCCCAAAGTGCTGGGATTATAGGCGTGAGCCACCGGGCACCGCTAATTTTTGTATTTTTAGTAGAGACAGGGTTTCACCATGTTGGTCAGGGTGGTCTCAAACTCGTGACCTTGTGATCCATCCTCCTTGGCTTCCCAGAGTGCTGGTATTGAAGGCATGAGCCACTGCACCTAGCCAAAAGTTTATTTTTTAATGACATAAGTGGTTCTATATCATACATGTCCTTTTAAAACTTTAAAAATCAGCATTATTCTTTGGAGCTAAATATAAATCTGGCTCTTTCATTTGGACTGCTATTAATGTTTCATTGTGTAAATATGCCACTTTATTCATTTCCATGCTAATGTACTCACTGTGAGGTGGCTTCTAGGGTATTTCATATTTAATGTGATTATTGTTAATGATATGCATGAATGCCAAGCCAGGCCCTGCAGCCTTGTAGCAGGTTCTGCTTTGGCTGCTGGAAGCTAGAGATCTAGTGGCTTGGGGGGCATTTATGGCCTGCCTTTGAGAGGTGCCAGAAAACCCTCCTTCCCAAGATCACTTGGACAGGACTTGCCACGTGGGTGTGGGTATATGTGTGGGGCCGGTGCACGCTTCTGTGTGTCTGAGCCATGAGAGCTGTGGCTGGACACTGCAGCATCTCAGGTTTCTAAGGATAAGGACAGGTGTCTTCAGGGAGCACCGATGCATCCTCTGGGGTCTACACCTTTGGCAGGGCTGGGTCCAGTGCTGTGGCATAGGGAACTGTCCGCCCTCAAACTGCTCTTTCTTCTCTAAATGCCTTGATGTAGTGAAGATCCCAGAGAACATACATCTAGCCTTCTTACGACACTAGTATAAAATGCTTTAAAGAGATTGTAAATTGCTAGGCTTGTCCTGTATAGGAAGCTTGACTCATTCTTGAAAGTGCAAAGCTGATGACATTAACAATCCCAGCTGCAAATAATCACAATTTAGTCTTCTGCTTCGGGCTTTTTTGTTATTAAGTTTTTGCTTAAATTCTCATTTCTGAATGCATCTAACTTGCATATTCTTTTATTCATTCATAAAATATTCATTCAATAAATATTGATACTTCAGGAACTCGCTGTGTGGCAAGCCCCGTGTCAGGCTCCAGGCGTGCTGAGTAGAATAAATAAGGACACCTCCTCGCTGGGGAGTGGCAGTGCTTTGGGACAGGTGTCTGTCTGACAAGGGCATCTTGCTGCCTGGCCGGGTGGGAGCTGTGGGTGAACTAGAGGTCAGAGGTTACATTTGTCTTGGGAGTCATCTTAGGCACTCTCCCGCTGTGCCCACTGCTGGGGACACACATGTGACTCCACCCTGACTGCCTATTTGGGAGGCTTGAGCCCTGAGGCCTGGAATGTGTGAATCCCTTCCCTTCCCCTAACCCTTCTCAATGCCTCACCAGCCTCCTGTGGGTCACATGCACGCTTGGCCTCCCTGGAAGGGCTGCATGGAGCAGTGCAGGTGGAGGAAGTGGAAATGGCTGTACCTGACTTGGCAGTGCCAGGCAGCTGCACAGACCTCAGACCTGGTCCCTGTCCATCCAGGCTTTGTCTGTTGAGTACCCAGTTCCTTCTCAGAGTTCTGAGCTGAACCCCTCTCCTGGCTCTCCCCTCCCCCTACGAGGAGGCACCTCTGCCACTCCCCAGGCTGTGCTAGACCTAAAGAAGCTTCCTCTGGCTGCGTTTTGCCCTGTGGAGTGGGGAGGGTGTGGGTTCTGCATGGAGGTGCGGGCAGTAGTGAGGCTAAGACTCCAGAGTCATCTCCACCAGTGGTAGTGCCAGGTGGTACTCTCAGTGCTACCTGGGAGGGAGACAGGTGTACAGAACTTCCCTTTGCAGATAGCACAGCCAGATTCCTGGAATTAACATGGCTTGGATGCTGCCATTTGCAGACTGGCCTGCAATCTAAGAGAGAGACCAACCCCAGCTACATAATTGTGGTGCCTGCTGCCTCTCCTCCCTCCTAGTAAGAAGTGGTGGTCTCATCTCATCCAGTGCAAGAGCTATGGATAAAAATGTGTCCCCAACAGCACGAGGAGGAGCAACATGCTTCCTGGGGTAAGAGAGGATGGAAATAGGATTTACTGAGCACTTCCCATGTGAAGCCACATTCAGTCCTCATAATATTCTCATGTGGGAACAGTGTCCTCGTTTTATAGATAAGCAAACCGAGGGGCCGATCAAAACTACTGTATGGAACCCCGTCTGTCTGAAGTCCAGGCTCTGTCCACTGCTCCACACACCAAGGGGGGACGCTGGTGGAGCCAAGCTT